AAATAGGGCAACATAGGAAGTGAGGAGGACATCAGAGGACAACTAGTAGCGAATGTAACCAAGATATGGGGTGGAAAACCAGATCAAACCTCTGCTGAAGTTGCAGGAAAAGAAGATAATCAACCAACTGTGTTAGAAACTGTGAAAGTTCCTCAAGTCGAGAAACGTTTAAGACAGGAGTGTGAGAGGGAAGATCTGTGGTAACATTCAACTTGCCGGTGTAAGAGGGAAACTCATGACAAATACGTGAGAAAATTACCAAAATTAAATGGCGTAAAATCTACACAAAATGCAGGCCAGAGATGCAGCAATAGAAATAGAACAATACTGTGGGATAGGTAGCTTTCAGAGTTATATCCGGTTGTGAAAGTTATTTTTAAGGAAAATCCAGTTATATATATTCCGGGATAAAGAGACAGTTGATGAATGGAGGGAAGTACCAGTCAGTATTTATTAGACAGGCTATGTCTAAAGAGGACGGGGAGGTAGTAGCAAGAGTCAGGGAAGATAGGTAAATGAGAAACGGAAGGAAGCCACAAAATATTACAAACAGTGTGAAAGAAGAAGGAAACTTGACAACATAGAACAGAGGGAAATTGTGGGGCTGCCCAGTTTAATGAGGCATATATTAAATGGAGTAAATATGAGCGCATAGATCATCATTCATCACTTTCCCTAGTACAAAATAAGCATGAATGCAGATGGAATTGCAAATAATGGGAAAGAGTTGCAGAGAAACAACCATACACAATAGCAATAATGGAAAGAAAACTGACAGGTCTTATTAGACAAGCAATTATACTATGTGGATACCGATTGATTGATTGATAAAGATTAAGCCAACCAAGAGGTGGCACGGGCATGAATAGCCCGTAAGTGGTACACTTTTTTTTTTCTCAGTAATTCTTTTCAGTATTCTGAGGTTGCATTTAATCGTCAAGCTGTTATCGCAGGGGAGGATACTGCTTCACAGTCTTTATGAGGATGTCCAGCTGCGTGAATACCAAGGTATATATATATATTTATAGCGGGTGAGCAGGAGGGAGTGGCGTAGGCCTGTTACTACACATACGCTGCAGTTTTGAAGAAGAAAATGTTCATATGCAACCGACCGGCAGTAGTACATAGTAGGGCTAGCAGTAGTGGAGTCATGAGGATAGTGGTAGCGGTGGTTTACAATCCCACACTTAGCAAGAGAACGCCTAGAGAAGAACACCTCAAATTCAGGGATAAGTGACTAAAGGTAGTGGATAAAGGAGCTACAGTGGTAAGAGAAGCAAGAGTTAAACCTCTAGTAATAGGGGATTTTAACCAAAGGGAAAATGTACTTGATAAATAAGGATCCCCACAATGATGATGAAACATGATACATTATATCATGCTGCTTGGACGTGTATTGGTATACACCCAAGTTAGGAGAGAAGCTGACTCAAATTAAAAATATCATTGTGGCAAAAGCACCATCCAAAAATGTTTTTCATATGAGGAGAAAAACAACAGATACCAGGAAATCAGGTTGAGGAGACTTGAGGAGTTTATTACGGAAAACGACGAAGAGGCATGTGAGAAACAATTTTTTTTTTATTGTACATGGGTTGGTTCAGGAATAGACGACTAACTAAGGCAAGCAAGGGTATGGCGACCACTAACCAAGCTACTTCTCGAATAAGCAGTTCTGCATGTAATGCGAGACACAATCTTCAACTTTGATGGCAAGACTGAGAAGCAGATTAAGGGGACAGCTATTGGCGCCTCGAGTAGTGTTGCCATAGCTGAAATGTTTGTCCATTCAGTCTTTGAGACAGAAAGGGCCAACAGACAACAAGGCTTACTTACATATTTCAGATACATCGACGACATCTTTGGAATAATTATGGGAGGCACACAACAACTTCAAGACTTCTACACGTGGGGCAACACGGTGCACAACAACTTTAAATTCACCCTAGAGGAGGACGAAAAAAACCGCTAGGTTAGAAAAAACCTAGACACGAGGATATATATCGATGAAGAAAATAGGACGCTCCAAACGAAGGCTTACTACAAACCTCCACTCATATCTTCTCTAGACAATCAGCCGCTCATCATCATTTAAGAGACCCCTACCCTTCTCACTGGGACTACGCCTTAAAAGAATCATAAACAAGGACCAAGATCTTCGACCAGAACTACAAAACTTATGGGGACTCTTCAAGGGCCGAGGATACCTGGACGCCATCATACAGGAAGCAACAGTGAAACTAGGGGGGAATCAACAGAGGATCCCCAAGTGACAAGAAAAATGAAGCAGTTGAACTGATGGATATTACTCACACTGTACTTTCCAGGATTCGCAAATCACCTACAACAGAATATAAGAGAAATATGGGAATGGCTTTAAGAAACCTACGGAGACCACCCGGCTTGGCCGACTTTCCCGCAAAGACCACCTATGCTATCATGGAAAAAAGAAAAATCCATTAGGACTACTTAGTCAGAGCAGCCTTAACACGCGACTCTTCCAATGACGCTACAAACCGTTGAGAGGGCGCAAGCTGAGTCCCATAAAGCAGTGGATATACAAGGAACCTTCATCTATGACGGTGCTTAACGTAAAGAAACCCTATGCTAAACATACCCTAACCTAACCTAACCTGACCTGAGTCCCTTAATTGAGTGGACGATGTCCCTGAGCTAAGTCTGTGGTTAAAGAGGCCCCACGTTTAAACACACCCATGTGTTTAATTTAACACATGTTCAATCCAAATGTTCAATCGAAAGAAAATGATGAGTATCAAAGATGTAGGGTAAGGTAAAAGATGGGTTGTGAAGGATTGCGGTAAGGTATGCTCTGGGTGGCAAAGACTTAGGATAAGGTTAAATATGGGTGGTTAAGATTTACTGTAAAGAGTAGGTAAAGAATATTAAGACTGAGAGGTGAATATAGGCTGAGAGTTGGTCATAGTACGTCTTATCCTCTTGTTTCCCTGGAATACGACCCGCCAATTGTTTAACAACCAGGTACCCAATCACTGCTGGGTGGAGCGAGGCATACGTTTTTTCTTTTTTCCAGAGATATTCCTGCGCGGGCCCTAAGCCTCTGGCTGGCTCACTAAGTGTTGTTTGTTTCTGTTTTACTTGGGCGGAGTATGAGTATTTATGACTCGTATGGTCGCTTCAGTAAGATTTTGAGAGGCATACTGTTAAAGATTGGCACCTAGTCAGTCTCCTCCAGTTAGGATACGAATCTAGGCCAAATCACTTGCGAAGCACGGGGCGAGACCTCTTCATGAGATCTTTATCATAGGAGCAAGAGGAAGAATAAGATTGCGAGGTTAAAGACTGCAAGAGACAAGGGGTGCCATTGTAGTCACTGTAGAAAAGATAAAAATACATCTAGAGGAGCTAGATATGAGAAAATGAATTAAACCATACATAATCTCCATAAACCATATAATCAATATTTACCATACATAAGTGTTGGATAAAGAAATAGGCTGAAAATGGTGTAGCCACTAGAGAGGACCAACTTTATAACATAAAGGCAGCATGGATCTAGAAAGAGAAATCGTGCTTGACATATATGATTTTGCTCTCTGATTGAGTACAACAATAAGACCATAAAATAATGTCTGGGTAAACTATATTTTCCCAGACTGGCAATGAGCATTTGACATTTTTCTTCATGAAAAACTGGTGTACAGGATGGAGAAGCAAGATGAGATAACAGGGAAAACACTAAACCTGGCAAGGAAGTACCTGAAGGACAGAGAGCAAAGGATCACAGTCAGAGAGGAGGTTTCTAACTGGAAGAATGTAACAAGTGGGGTCCCAAGCTCAATCATGTCACTGCTACTATTCCTAATTTATGTGAATGACCTGTCTGAGAGAGTAAGCTCTCACATGTCAGTGTTTGCAGATTATGCAAAAATGATGACAAGTGTAAAAATAAAGGAGGATTGCAGGAAGTTACAGTAGGACCTTGACAAAACCCACGAGTGGGCAAATAAATGATATCTAGATTACAATCCTAACAAGTGTAAGTTAATGAAGGACAGGAAAGGGAGAAAGTAGACAAGTTGGTATCTACATTATACGGGGAAGGCCACTACAGAAATAAGATTAAGAGAAAAAATGAATAAAAATAATTCCAACACTAAAACCAGAGACGAACATAAACAGGGTAACTTCTGCAGCATGTGAGATGCTTGCAAACAAAACATCGTCTAGAAACAAGTTTGATGTCAGAGCTACGAGGATTAATCTATGAGTACAGGATCTAGACAGGAACTAGATCTTACAATCCTAAAGGAAAGAAGAAAAAGAGATTGGATATGATCACAAACTACAAGATACTGAGGGGGAATAAATATGATAGACAAGGGCAGCCTCTTAAAATTGAGAAGTAGGATAAAAGGACATAAGTGGAAGTTGGCAATGCAAATTAGTAGAGGAAATGTAAGGAAATACTTGTACTCTGTACTGGTGATCATTAAGTGAGATGCACTGAAAGAAGAAGTTATGGAAGCCACCTCCATTTATAACTTAAAGTTATATTCGACAAGGAATTTGAACATTAGGATAAATAAATTATAAAGTAACATATATAACAAGGCTAGTGGGCGGGACATAGGGATGTAAACCACGCTCCCAAATAGACACTGACGAGAAAGAACTGATAGATAAGTACTTCCTACCTTTATACTACCTATTTTGGTGTTATCTACGTTCATACTTTCTAACTTTAACCTGTCGACCTTGATACTACCTACTTTTAAACTAATTTCCTCAATGGCACAACCTATTTTAATGCTAAATATTTTTACATTATTTGATACTGCCTACATTTAAGTCATTTTTCGAACATAAGTTAAATGTGGCAATATGTGCGTAGCTTACAGATGATGTTATTCTGTCTTACCTGTACTGCACAGAGCTGCATGGTCTACAGTACTGATGATTTTAAAAGGGCCCACAATTTTTCCTTCATAAGATTAATCAACTTATGGCGTGACTTTCAGAAGACATCATGAGGACTACAGGGAACAGGAAGGTGGTAGTGCGGCAGCTGGACACGTCAGACCTGGCCTCCGTCAGGAAGTTTGCTCAAGGCATCCTGGCTACTGAGACCGCTCTTCACGTCCTGGTGAGCTTCCAACTGTTTCACTCAAAACACTTTATCCTACAGTTGTGTGTATCGGTAGAACTGCAGTCTTCTGCCTTTATGGTACTGGGATTCAAGGCTCCAATGTCTTAGGAAGATTCACCTCTGGTTGCAGGGACCGTCAAGCCTACAAGTTTATTTTTATTTTTTTTCCAATTGTTTTTTAATTAATATTATTAAATTATATTAAGAACATAAATTATTGACTTAGTTATGTTAGTTGAGGTTAGGTTAGGTAGGGTAGATTAGGTTTGGTTATATTTCTTCATTAATTAATTATTAAATTAACTCAAATTAAATTTAAAAAAAAAATAATTTATAATGTAATAGAAAGCTTTATAATTTCATAAGAATAAAATTTGAAAATATATAAAACGTCAGAAAAACACAGCTTATTAGACAAATAGGGCCTTACATAGTAGACCAAGTAGTGCATTCTGTATAATAGGTACAACATATCTATAAAAAAAAAATGTAGATATTCGTTTGTTCAAAATCGCTAATCTCTGAAAGTTCTTCACCGATTACTTTAAAATTTTCACACAACGTTCCATTCGCATCGGAGCAGGCTTTTGTATACATACTATATAGATGTCCCGTCTGTGACGGTAAAAAAAAAAAATGCTTTTTCTGAAAAATTGTGTTTTTCATGTGTTTTTCGAAATCTTTAGAAAATTCGAAGATTCGAAATCTTCGAAACCTCTTTGCCGATTGCTTAGAATTTTTGACCCAACGTTGTATTTGAATAAGTGCGTGTTTTTATATACCTACTATAAACATGCCTATCCTGTGAAAGGAAAAAACTTTTTTTTTTTAAAACAGCACCATCTGTTGGATGTAAGAGCAACACACGCTGTAATCTCCAAAAGTTCCTCACCGATTGTGTTGAAATAATGACAAAACCTTCCATTCGATTACAGACATGTTTTATATACCTACTATATAGATGCCACACCTGTGACAGGTAAAAACATTTTTTGGGGGAAAAAAACAGCGCAATCTGTTGCATGTAATAGCAACACATGCTATACTAAATATGTTGCAATTACATTTCAGTGTTTTCGATTGCATTGATAAATAGAATTTTCATAGATTTCAATTTATTTTCATTTTGATTTAATTATTTTGAGTGACATTGCACTGGAATTGAGCTGTGTTGTTTACTGTACCGTTCATTTCGTAAGTATAAGTATATATGCCACACCTTTCACAGGTAAAAACATTTTTTTTTATTTTAAGAAACAGCACCATCTGTTGCACATAAAAACAACACATGCTATACTTCATATGTTACAATTCCATTTCAATGATTCCGATTGACAAATGGAATTTTCATACATTTCGATTTATTTTCATTTTGATTTAATTATTTTGTGTGACATTTTGCTGGAATTGAACTGTGTTGTTTACCATACCATTAATTTAGTGAGTACAGTTTATTCTTTTATTTTTTCATTGTTTTCATTTCGTTTTTTTTAACTGTTTTTCTTATATTTCAGTCATAGGAACATCAGATCATTTGATGTTCCCAATTTTCTGATGGAACATCAGATCATTTGGGAATGTATCGGATGAGGGAGTGGGGGATGGTGAGGAGGACGAGTCGACAGAGGAAAGGGTAATGGTGGGTAGGACGAGGGGATGGTGGAGTTGGGGCTGGTGGGGACAAGGGGGGGTAGGGGCGTTGGGGATGGTGGGGACGACGGGACAGGGGAATTAAGAATTGTGGGGAGGTGGGGAGGACAAGGGGACGGGAGTGGGGGGATGGTGGGAGAGGACGAGGGGATGGAGAAGTGGGAGATGGTGGGGAGGACTAGGGGGATGGTTGAGTGGGGAATGGTTAAGAGGATGAGAGGAGTGGGGGGTGTCAGGAGATGAATTCTCCAGCTCCCTTGTGCACTGAATGAGTGTGCCCAGTGCAGGGTGCACAGGTGCATGTGCACCGTGAACCAGATTGCGAAATACAACTTTCTCATAGTCGTGTGAGGTGTCTTTAGGAAGCTCTCGGCGAGTGCTCGTCATTAATGCTATTGTGATTGCTGTATCTAGTCTATAAGGAGGATTACAACAGGGAGTTGATTTCTGTTGAATTTTTGTACCAGTTCAAGTGTAGTGAGGGGGTTTGGGGGTTAACGATTGTAGGTAGATCCTCCTGCACACGTGATTCCCTCGTGAGAGGGGGCGTCTCCTCGAAGGAGCGTGATTGTCCGAGGCTCCTGGGCCTCGAGAATTCTTCGCGGTAATTGGCCGAAGAAGCCGATGGTACCCTGTGAACACCTAGAGGCCATCTTTTGGGGCCAAGATTATTCTTACAGTGGACGTTGCATGAGGGTGGACGTAATTTTTCGTGCTAGGCCAAGCATCCGAAATACTGCCTGCATTGACACAAAAGTCACTCTCGATCGTCGATCGTCATCTCGGGACCGTGGGAAGTAAGAATCCAATATCTTGGAAGAGTGGATTTGGTGAGATTAAGCTAACGAGTGTGAACTTTGAGTGATTGTCACCTGGGCCACGTAATTGTGGAACACCACCTAGAGTAAACTGGACTGTGGAGGCTGTTTATCGATGTATGGTATAGATATCCGTCATCTATCGTGCCTTTGCTTCAAGGTACCTGGGAGAGACGATCTTGGGAAAGTTTCAGTGTTGTGTTGGAAACCTTAAATTCGTAATTCCTCGGAATTACCAGTGATCAGTGAAGGACTCATTTTCACGTGCCGCGCCGTGTAGCACCGTACCTGTCGTGCTGCTGTGCCTGTCGTACCGCGCCGTGCTGAGGGCGTGGTACCATCCCAGCTGAGTGCGTATACCAGCCGCTATGCCTCGCTCCTTTCGCCTACCCTAGGCCAAGCGAGAAGTACCTACCGCACCACCCTGGTCTGTGTGTAAGGACACCGTGGTCCAGCCACCCCGTGGTCCTGCCGACCACGTGTACGAAGGAGTGAGGATGCCTACTTCACCATCTACAACAGCATCAAGTGGGGGGGGGGGGGATCGTATGAGTGTGTGTGTGTGAATAAGGCCAGCCGGTGAAATTGGAGTAAGTACCTGTTTTCTGTTTTCGGTGTGATAAATTCTGAAGCTGGTTTCGCACCCAGTGTTCCGTCTTTCCATTGTCCCTTTTGAACACCTGGTGAGGTGATGGAATTGGAGACGTGTGAGTTACACTTGTTGAACGTCAGTCAAGTTGAGGAGTGGGCCCAACTGTGAAGGTTGATGTGTGTAAGAGGACATAATTAGAGACACATTCAGTTGTGTGGAAGTGTTTAGTATTTTACTGTATCTCCAAGGGTGGAGGAAAGTGATTTTATTTGTTTCCATTTTCTCTATTTGTGCCGTGTACGTAAATTCCTTGCAGAGGTTCCCGTTCCGGCAATGAAGTGGTAACAGGAGATTTCCCTTGGTTAACTGATAATTTTATATTATATTTAGCCAGCGCTTTGTTATACTGTTGTGTTGTGTTAGGGCCGTGAATTATTAGTGTCATAATTTAATGGGGAAAGTATTTTGCAAGTTTGCCGTGGGCGGCAAAAGTGTACCGTGTTGTACCGTGTGTGAACTGTAGTCAGTTGTGTTCTTGGTTTAATGCGTTGTGTACTGTGAAGGATTACGCGAGGATTTAAAGTCATTAACGTCACTGGGGGACATGATTGCTTAACGAGGGCATTGATGTGTTGTTGATTATCGTTCTGAATAACGTAAATTCGTGTAATTGCAACAGTCACAGTGAGTTCACGCAGTGGAGGAATTGTCGATAGGGCGACTAACATAATGTTAACGAATTAACGAGCTGTCGTTAATTAAGTTTTTTTTATTTTTATAAAAGAATTATACAAGGTATAGCAGAACACGCAATACATAAACAGAAAGACAAATACAGGTACAGAATAACACAGAACGTCATCAGAACCCAGAAACGCCAGATACTGAGGCAAACTATAAAACAAACATGAAAAATGGACATACAGTAATCACATGGACATGGAAAGACACAACAAGAACGTACACAAAATAAACCAACACACACGCACACACACAACCACAAAAACATCACAAGGCAAAAGCACATGGCACACGAAATACATAATTTACATAAAAAACATAAAAAAAAGACGCCCAAGGCGCAGGCACAGTAACATACATACCCCAAGAAACAAACAGGGGCTAATAGCAATACACAGAGACACACGCACAACAAACACTCACACCAGAAAGAACAAAATAGGGGAAACAAAACAGTGTAAACAACCCACACAGGGCAAAAGCAATGGCCCATGCAGGAGCCAGGAAAGAAGCATACCCACACACACACACACCAAACCAAACACACCACCACAAGAGCAACCACAACAGAGCCACAGCAACCACACACACACCCCGCTCAACCCTCCCGAGGAGGCCCACTGGAGGGGCCGGGGACCGAAGACAAAAAGCAAAGAAGCCCCACCCACCCAACCCACAGCCAACAACCAAAAGCCCAACCGACGACCACTCACCCAAAAGCATCCCCACGAACATACCCACCCGTGAACCAACAGCAAAACTCGTGCGGAAAAGCACGCTGCAACCACCACCACGTGAACCTCAAACGGCCTCTCAAAAACCCTAAAACCCTAGCAATCCCATAACCCTCCCTCCGACCCACCCACACACAATACACATAGTCAGCAACGAGAAGACATAATGTACTGCGCATCTGGCGCAATCCCCGCAGAAAAGACAAAAACAAAATCCTCAAAAGGCCATCTTGACACCCCGGCCCATAAATTCCAGCCAACACGTCACGAAACCAATCTAGCAAACCTCCTAACCACTCACAAAAATAGAAGACATGCAACTGAGTCTCAGGGAGACCACAGTGCACACACGCATCAGAGGCATGCAAACCCAGCATGCATAACCGCGCATTCGTCGCCAACAACAAATGTAATAATCGAAACAACACTTCCCGCTGCTGCTGCGCCAGAAACCGAGCCCCC